GTCCAATGCAACATTCACACAAGAGTACAATCCAGTACCATCCAATGCAACACTCACTCAACAGTACCATCCAGTACTGTCCAATGCAACACTTACACAACAGTACCATCCAGTACCATCCAATGCACCACTCACTCAACAGTACCATCCAGTACCATCCAATGCAACACTCACTCAACAGTACCATCCAGTACCATCCAATGCAACACTTTCCAACAGTACCATCCAGTACCATCCAATGCAACACTTACACAACAGTACTAGTAATCCAGTCTCCTACTGAATTCTATAGAAAGTTGAACAAAATTAAGTAGATATTGGACTAAGCAGACAATAGACAGGTAATAGAAAATATATTTATCCAAAATATGCATTCAAACATTATATGTGTGTGTGTGTGTGTGTGTGTATATATATATATATGTAGTGACAAAATGAGATCATAGGCATTTGTAATGATATGCTGGCAACAAAATGGATATAAACAGTATAACTCACTGCCTAGCTCTGCAGAAGAGGAAAGGCCTACAAGAGTAAAGCTGGCATGTGATCCTCTGTAGACAGAGGAAGGCACCCAAGGCCAAGGAAGAACTTATGACTAATGATGCAAAGTGAATACTCTAGCTTGAATTTGGAGATAAGGCTATTTTGAGAGACTATATGAGAGAATCAAATATATTGCTTAAGGGATTTGGATTTTCTCTCTTATAATACCAGGAGAGGGGTGACCACTGACGTGGTCAGTGCTATGTACACAGCAGTTGATTTTAGATGGGGAAGAACAGCCTCTGCCTTTGAATTCCACAACTTTTCCATGGGCAGCCTCCACCAGCACAGACTCATTCCCATCCACGTGTCTGAGCGCTCCTAGCTGATGTGAGAAGTTTATCAAAGCTCTGACTTCCTGTTTCACCCATCAAATAGATTTCACAACCAAGCCTCCACGATATGGCATATGGAGCCCAGGCAAAAGTGCCAGACTGCTGTGCTCATGCTGAGTCATACTGCTTCCTTCTCTCCGTTGCCAGTTAGTTCATGCTTCAAGATGGCCTTCGCTTTCCTCTTGCTGTGTATGTTTTAGCTCTGACCTTTCCTACTGCCAAGGATAGCTGTCTCTCTTTAGGGTCACTTCCTTGATGTGTACACCAGCCTACACCCCTGTGCAGGGGACTGAGCCTTACCTCCCTCTGTCTACGAGGCCCCACAGAACTGGCTTCTGGAACTCCAATGGTCTCCAACTCCACCGCATTTTGCCCTGCAGTTTTAACCTAACCCATCTGCCTCTCTCGCTGCCTTCGACTCCAAACAACTTCCAGCACAAGAGATTGTGATTTTTTTTAAAATGGAACAAAACTTCATTTGCAAATGTGATTTTTTGGGAAATGGTTTTGACTTAGGTTGTATTGTAGCAATTAAAGTAGATGAGAAAGACATTGTTTGAGTAAAATGGAAAGTTACGGTTATGGAGACAGACAGGAGTAATAGACAGAAAACCTTAAATGTGACACTGGGTATTAATATACCCTTTATCCAGGAGTTTTAGTGATTTGCCTTAAATATGGAACCTAAAAATGAAAATACATACTAGGTCAAAAATAGCTAAGCATAGGAGATTTATTGAATAAACTATGTTACATACAGGTAATTGAAAAAAGCAAAGTAGAGATTTTTAAGATTGAAATTGATGAAATTTCAAGTTATTAACTTGTGAGAAAAGAATGCAAAAGTAGGTAAAATATGTTATATTTTCTACAGGAAAAAAAATGCATACATACACTTTTGAATATATATGCATATATATATATATTTATATGTCTGTATATATATATATTTGTTTTTCAAATTCATCCATCACTCCATTGACCTATCCATATTTGCATCCATTTATCCATCCCAAACCAGAAATTGAAGCAACAAACAAAACAAAGTTAGAGTCTTATAACTGGAAAAAGTGTGGAAAGGAAAAGCTTTCAAGGTGAAAGAGAGTGTGTGTGTGTGCGCGTGTGTGTCTTCTTTTGCGTTGGTCGGTATTATAAATTGGAGGTAGAGAAATCATACGGAAAGGAAAGATTGACGAACTGAAGAACTGGGGAAAATCTAGCTGGGTATGGGAAGTGACTTACTGCTTTACTGCGGCCCCCATTTCACGGGGACCCTGACCAATTCACTCTCCTCTCTTTTGATATAGGCTGATTTCTATTAACAAAATGCCTTAAGCTTAACCTACACGGAGCAATTTTTAGCAATCAAGAGCTCTGTAGGAAGGTCCTAGGTCTGTTTGCAAAGGGTTCTGTCATTAAGGAAAGCGCAGGAGGAAAGATCCTCATCCTCAGAGAGTGAATTCCTCATTGTTAGCATTGACAGCTCACAATCCTCGCTTTACTTTAGAATCACCTGGAAAGTTGAAAATACCCACCAATTTCCAGGCCACACCCAAAAGCAATTGAGTCAGGTCCTCAGATGCAGGCAATTGGCACTAGAATTTTGATAACCTCTGTTTGAATTTTCATGTTGAACTGCAATTGATAAAAACTGTGAGTCTCCATGTGCTCATGTTTGCTGTTGTTTTTGAAGATGTAATTGCAGTTACACTGGCTAAAGACCATGACAAACGAAACTATTTTTATAAAAACCAGTTACTATATAAACCTGCTTTTATAAGGTTTTGATCATTAATCTTAGAGCTTTCCCATAAATTTCATAGAAATATTTTCAATGATTTTATGCAGTAAAAAATATTTTAGCTAAACAGAGAGTCATTCTATTGCTACAGCCTTCAATGAGGTTTACATTCAGTGAGTCTGAACCGTCTATCAAACTAGAAGGGCTTTGGCTCTGTGTTATACTAAGGCATACATTCAAAGACCTTTGATCTGTAACAGAAAATAATTAGGTCAGGTTATATAAATCCTTTCCAAAAGAATTAATCCAGAATTCATCATATTTCTGTTTACATAAAATGCTGTTGGGCGTGGTTTCGGTGACTATCCTGAGTGAAGGATGCATGAGGGACAGCTGGAGAGCATCAAACTGGCAGGTCTCAGCAAGACGACATCTTCCCCATTGATTTATCTGAATTTCATTTCTAAAAAACATATTCAAAAGCAGCTTTTCTCAGAGGTGTAGCATTTCTCTAAACCTAAACCATTTGCATTAAAAAGCAAAAATTGAATGTTGAACTGAAAAATTTTTATGTCGGGGGATTTTTCCCCAATTTTTTTTGTTTTGGGGAAGGGCCCATGAAAAATATACCCAATTCAACCGATCTTCCCAGTACCATTTAGTAACGCTGATTATATGCTTTTGATTGTGTAACCATTTTCACCCTCATCTTAGTTGTTCCTCTCTCACTCACATAAACTCACTTCTCCTAAAGTTCCAGTCTTACCTTTTTTATAGTTGTTGTTATCAATTTGATCCCATGTAGATAGTTCTTAACTATATTAATTCATAAAAATAGAGGTATTGTCCTATGTATATATATTTGTATGGCAATGTATTGA